AAAGGACTTTTCCTACATTTCGGTCCTTTCTGACGATTCTGATTTTTCTAGCCGGGTCACCCTTATTTGGTTAGCCGGGTCACCCTTATTTGGTTAGCCGTGTCACGTGGCACGTGACTTAGCCGGATAACAGTATATAATTGATAGCAGCTTATAGAAAAATTAAGGCATTTATTTTAGTATTAATTGGATTAATTATTAAGTTCAATCCATTTCATACTTATAGAAATTGAAACAAAGGTTGTATTGATATTATGAATTCTGTTCTAACTGAAGTATTTAGAGATCATTTTTGAATTAGCATAATATCTAAGTATTATATATATATAAATAACAGAAAAATAAACAACAATAAATGTACCTTGCAGTTTTTCTGATAATGACCTATATTTTCACATTTTTTATATTAATGTTGATGTTTTATAATAGGTTTTGAAGTTTTATGTGATGATTTAAATTATTTAATTCCTAATGGTCACTCTTTTCTATACTGATATTTTGGATTTTTTAATTGAGAAATCATAGAATTATTGTTATTATTAATTTGTAAATTTTTATCTAAATCTGATTATTCATTACTATTATTATTAACAAATTCTTAAAATAAAGCAATAAGTTGTTGTAATTTTGAATTAGTCTGCAATGCTATTTAGAGAGCTTTTTTATATGCATTATGTACTTTTCTATAAATAATTTTTTGTTTAAGAACTATTAAACTTTTTTTATAAAAATCTTTGTATTTCTGATTAAAAGAATACAAATATGATACTAAATCATTTAAATTATCTGTTATTTGATGTAACATTACTTGAAAAAAAGTTTACAAATGATTTTACATTAAATAAGTAAAAGACATGTATATATATGTTTTTGATTTTGTAATAATAAAACATAATATTTGATATTTAACAAATTTCTAATATTTTTAGTCCAGATCTTCTTAATATTATAAGAATTTACAAATTCAAAAATTTATTTCAATACAGTTTGTAGAATATTAATTAATAATTTGTTATTTGTATATATAGTCAAATCATTCTATTAATAATTATAATTTTATATTAGATACAAAACTACTGTATTTTACAGTCCAAATTAGAGGCCTGCATTGGGTTTCACAGCCCAGCTCACAAATTTTTGTGGTCTGGGCTGGGCCTGAAGCAAAATTTTATAATTGCAAACTGGGCTGAGTCAAAAAATTTGAAAAATTTTATAATTACAGGTCAGTATAAGCCTAAAATTTATAAAATTATTTAAGAAATTTTTGCAGGCTGGGCCAGGCTGAAGAAAAAATTTAATATATGCAGGCTAGACCAGGCTAGCAAAAAATGTTAACCTTAAATGCAAGCCAGGCTAGGCTAGAAAAAAAATTTTAATCCTAAATATAGGCTAAGTCAGGTCTTAAAAATAGGCAATTCACAGACTCCTAGTCCAAACTACCTTTTTGTTGGATTTTTATATATTATGATAAATAAACTATCATATACATTATTTAAATATCTATATGACTATAATTATTTTATAATAGATTTAAATCAAATAAAATTTAATTAAATTCTTTTTAATTATCTATATGTTAAGTTACTAATTATTTAAACTGAAATAGTTTTAATATTAAAATTTAATACTTCAAATAAATTTGTTTATATAAATATTTTATGTTTATTCTTTTAATGCTAATTCTATTTCCAAGAAATTATTTTTAATTATATTTTAATATTTATTTTTTTAAGTTTTAATTAATAAACAATAGGGAGCTAATATTTGTACCTCTTATTTTTGGTATTCATACTCCTTATCACAAAAATTTCTGATGATCACTTGATTATATGATCTACCTTGCATGTGATTGGTTGATGTTAATCATACAATATCCAGTATATTGCTAAGAATAAAAGTTAAAATTAGTCTAAAATCCCAAGATTAAAGATTTAAAAGTTTATATAGACTATTAAATATACACTTTCCAATTAAGATCTAACAAGCTAAAGAAAAAAATCAACCAGATTCACTTTTAATATGGCAAAAGTTTCAAGACTTTGAATGCTATGACCAATTATTTAAATATAATACAAAGAACTAACATTTTATTCTTTACTCCTTTATTTATATAGAAACTTAAATATACATTAAAGATTTAATGACTGGCTAATGGCAATAATAATAGGATTTACTTTTAATGTAGATATAAGTTAAGCTTGAACTTATTTTTGAATACAATGACTGATTAAAAAATTTATTACTCAAATATAAATGAATGACTAACACTTTATCTAATTTATTTGTATATAACCTACAAGATTTAAAGAATAGTTAAAGGTGAAAGTGTTTGGATTTACTTTTAATATGAGTAAAAGATCCAGAATTGAATTTATTTTTAAATGCTATGACTGATTAGTTATTTATTATTCAAATATGAAATAGATGACTAATATTTTATTTTTTACTACTTTATTTATATAGAAATTTGAATTTTTATTTTTATTTTTCTTCATGTTAATACATCAAAGATTATTATAAGATGCTATTTATAAATTTTATTTTAAAGCTATGTATGATTTAATTGTTCAAGTAAAATGAACTATAGCTAAATATTTTAATTTGTACTACCCCTATTTAGACAAGTATGTACATTGTGCCAAGGCTGTTTACAAAAAGAACATTGTCTTGTTCTATGGTCAACAAATTTAAATCCAGAAGGATCTTTTTTTGTAGTATTAGTTGGTTAATAATTTGAAGCATCAGAAGGACATCCTTTAGTGTGAACTACTTAAGAGTCTTGCAAAGCCATTATTAAAAATCAATCATATTATTTAATGTTTCTCTGGCAGCCACTTATTGATGTTCAGGCCATTCTTGATATCTTTCCTCTAGGTTTTGCAAAAAAGGCTTTAGTAGATCTTCATGATAGAAAATATTTTTTCTAATTTGTAGTATCAGTGGGCACCCTTGAATCCACCAGTGTTTATGGATATTTTCAAGTAATATGCTCTAATTAGCATCTAAATTTTAAAATAATGAGCACAAGGCAAACTCATTGTTCTTGAAAAAAACCCAGTACATAGTGGCAGTTGTTCTTGCAAAGTAATTCACTAATGCTGCTTATTTATTTTTTTAAGAACAAAAAGCTGAGACTTTGCTTCTAAGATTCACATATAAAGAATTATTGCATGCAAAAATTAAAATATGAATATGCTCTGATTTAATTATTAAATCAATTTCTTTTTTTTGATTAGTTACAGCTAGAGTAATTGTCATACAAACCTAATAAAGGTCTCCTGCTGATATTTGTAAGTATGTTTTAAGAACTGCATATAAGCCTTCAATATGAGAAGTCATCATCATTTCTAGGTGAAGAATTTTATTAGTCTAAGCTTTTACAAATCACTTTTTTCATGGCATTCAAGTTTCTTCAAAATAGAATATAACACTGGCTTTATTATTGTAAATAGAGCAAAAAGTTTCCTATTCTGTATTGAATTTGTCTTTAGTTTCTGAACTAATAATATTATTCCATCTTCTGAGAAAGTTATTCCACTCATTGTCTTCATCATTTGTGTCTTTTGGAAATTGCAATTTGCAATTTTTTAAGATATTTTTGCTTATATGCTATACACAAAACAAATTTACTAAATTGGAGAAAATTGTTTTAAGAGCATTCATAAGAGCCAACTCTTTGTTTGTTACAATGGCTCTAGGCCTTAGTTTTTTATTAAACAATCGAGCAACCTGTGTTAAAACCCATTTGTAATCATTTTCACTTTCATCTTTTATAAAGCAAAAGCAAGAGAAAAAGATGATGTTGAGACTAGTTATACCAACAACATTTAATAATGCCATTTTGAACTTATTGGTTTTGTAGATACAATCTATAAGAAGCACAGATAGGTATTGTCAAGTAAGGGTAATAGATTCTTTATATGCAAAAAAACAAATGAGTAACAGCTCCAGTGTTATCACATTTATAATCAAATAGAAAGTCACCTTCCTAAAGCTCATCTACAAGAGACTGAAGTAAAGTATATTCTGTCAAATTTTGTTGCCAAAGTTGTTTATGTGCATTGTAGATATCACTATTAATAACTAGCATAGATTTATCATTTTGGCGAAGGGTTAAAATAATTTTCCAGGAACATGAACTAGCAGTAGTAATCACAGCAACACTTTCTAACTGCTGATCTGTAAGTCTTCTGACAATTGGATGTCCTGACATATTGCTTGAAGGTTTATGATTATGCTCTAAATTGTGAACTTCCAGATGCCATAAACCATTATGTTGAGCTGCATACAATTTAAAAGAACAATCAATTAACCTGGTGCTTCTTTGTCTACTATGTATAGCTTCAGTTAAGTTTGGATTATTGTACATACCACCTTAGTCACAATGTAATTTCATGTTTTTTAATTTACTATGTTTATCTTTACAAGTTCTTTTTTTTACTAATGCATAACCCTGTAAGTTTGCAAATGTTTAGGCATTCTGAAAAAGTTTATCTGCACTGTTGTATGTTGCTGAAGGCAGTAGAAGCATATTTACTTTTCTAAGAGAAATAATTATTGACTTGAAAATTTATTATAACTGTAAAAAAAGTTATAACTAAGACTCTAAAAATTTTTCTTACAAGGTGGTTTTTTTTTACAAGCTTTACAGATTAGTACTTTTTTTTTGTTAATTTGTTAATTAAAATGTGTTCTAACTTTATTAATATTTATTTAGAATACAATATGAACAGAAATTTTAATTAATATTCAAAGAGAATATATCAAATTATTTCTTAAGAACAAACTTCTAATGTGGATTTTTAAGGTTTATATATTTTTAAGACCATTATATTTTTACATTAAAATTATTAATCTGTTTATATTACAGTTAACTATATACCAAATATTAAATGCCAAATTTAATTCTTTAAAAATTTTAATTTGGCATTAAATAAGCTGGCTATATGTTTGTAACTTTGTTTAATTATAATCTAATGACTAACAATATTAGTTATAGTAGAATGGTTCTGATTAACTTTATAGAATAGCTATGAAATTTGTGATACAAATGCCATGATCAATGGTAATAAATATGGCAGATTAAATGAAATCAAATTAAAATAAAATTTTTGTAAGCTATTGAAAAATACAAAATTTTGAGAATCTGTTTTTTATTCTTTTGAATTTATGGTTTATGATTTGTGACAATTAATATATGAAGGCAAGTGAATGCCAATTTAATGTCAATTTATTTAATTAAGATGTGTAATATTTTATATTTTAATACATGTATTGTCTATTAAATTAAACATTAATATATAATTACTTAGCATGTCAAAAGTAAACTAACATAGCATTTAACTAAGTTCAATATCCTAATACATAGTATTTTTGTGCCACTTATTGAATTAGATATAAATTTATAATTACTTAGCATGTCAAAAGTAAATTAACATGACATTCAATACCAAATATGTCATATTTTTGTGCTACTTGTAGAATTAGATATAAATTTATAGTAATTTGAACACATATATGCAGCATTAAGCTACATCTAATAGATAATTATCAAATATATTTGAATTAGAACATTAAGTATAATTAGTATCAAATAGTATCTGGTACATACATATCTACAATATGTAGTATTTACTTAAAAACCTTTAAGGCCATTGATGCATAAGTCTTAGTATATTATGTAGAATACTACAATCTGGTAGCAATCAGAAAATGTATACTGGGTTTATAGTACAAATAAAAACTTAAAATTCATTAAAGTTAGGGTCAGAATTAAAATTCAAAGAGGTAGTTATAATGGTAAATTATTTAATAAAAACTTTTTATTAGAGTGTAAAAGTTGTCATTTCTTATATATATTTTTGAGTTATAAGTGATTTTTGGCAGAGTGAATGAATCTCTTAATTGTGTCACATTACGTCAAATTTTAGTATATATTTTAAGTGCAATCTGGTATATTAGTTACATTGTATATATTTAACCAATCACATGAAAGGTAGATCATGTGATCAAGTGATCATCATAAATTTTTGCAATAGGGAATATAAATATCAAAAGTGAAAGGTAAGAATACTAGTTCTCTAAACAATATTATATATTTTTTTGATTCTTGTCTTTAATAATTAATTATATTATAAAATTAATTTAAAGCCTCTTTTTATAACTTATCTGTTATCATAATCACTATACTTTCTTTTAAATTTTTGCTTTATTTCAATTATCAAATTTATATTCAAATCTGAATATTATATTGTACAAATATTTTATAAGAAGAGTGTGGTGACCTAGTGAAGTGGTCAGGTTGTCAACCCTCCAAGTGGTAGGTTGGGTGTTCAAATCCCATCGATGG